CATTTGGAATGCTTGTAGGTTGTTTTGAAACCCTTTGGTACTTTATGAGATAATAAAACCATGTGTAAAGCACTTGATGTGAGAGCTATGAAGTCTAGGAATCCACGAAGCTTGAAGATTCCAGCCTTACCTCGTGTAATCATGGGATGTGTCGAGGCAGGAAGAGGAGGAGAGTCCGTAGCAACAGGTGCAGGAGAGACAGACTCAGAGTTCGTTGGAGGTACATCGTCATCAGGTGTTGAAGTGAACCTGGGAACAAAGTTGTCGAAATCAGGACACAAACGACATGGGCTTGGGATCGTTGAGGTAGCATTGTGTGTTCGAGGAGGTGCACCGCTAGAAATTGATTGGGTCGATGGTGGTGCACTTACTTCTTCAAAATTTGATAAATACATGCTAGCATCAGACAAAGAAACATTACTGGTGAACGGAAATAGAGTCTCATTAAACTTAGCATGCTGAGTGGTGTAGATCTTAGAAGTAGCCATATCAAGACACTGGTAACCTTTGTATAGGGTGCTATACCCAATGAAAACACATGGGATGCTATGTGGAGCAAGTTTATGATCTGAATAGTTCCTTAAATAAGGACATACTCGACATCCAAAGGTACGAAACACATGAAAATTTGGCCGAGTTTTAAAAAAGAAGCTCGAATGGAGACTTGTTGTCAAGCACGTGTGATGGAAGTTGATTAATAATGTATACGCCCAAACTAAAAGCATCAACCCATAAGGAATTCGGTGTACTTGCGTTAAATAACATAGCCAACCCAGTTTCGGTGATATGATGATGTTTACGCTCATCACGCTTATTTTGTTCAGGTGTATAAGGGCGTGTAAAACGATGATGAGTACCATTTTCAGAAAATAAGGTTTTGCCTTGGTTGTTTAAGAATTCAGTGTTACCATCAATTTGAAAACCTTAAACTTGCATGAAAAATGAGTTTGAACAAATGCCAAAAAAGTTTTAAGAACCGTTACAAAGTCATATTTGTGCTTCAAAGGATAGAACCAAGTAAATTAGGAGAAGTCATCAACAAAAATAGTATAATAAATATAACCATCAGTAGATAAAACAGGTGCAAGACCCCATAAATCACAATGTATCATATTCAACACAAGAAAAGATCATTTTTCATTTAAAGGAAACAAAAGCTTATGACTTTTAGATATCTCACAAGATGAGCAAACACGAGGTTTAGGTAAAAAAGAAGTATAAAAAATGGCCTAGTTTATGCAACAAAGAAATAATAGGTACTGAAACATGTCCTAGACGACTATGATAGAGCTCATAAGAAGCACGAAGCCTATTGGATTTAAGCATATAAGCCCATTATCAACTTTGCCCTTCGCTAGCACCTCCTTGGTGAGTCGTTTCTTAATTGAAAATTTTTTATTAGATAATAATGTTGGTGTTAATCCAAACTTAGTCAAACTCAAGTAATTATCTTTAAGGTTTGAATAAGTAAAGGCCATGTTGGCCACGTTTTTAGAATAGTTTAGATAGGTTTAGTTGGCTCCTGTTTTACTGCTTTGACTAGGTAGAGTTTGTTTCCCTTAAAAGTGGAATAGGCAGCTAGGTACGTGTATATATATTGTATGTTCTGGTATTGAATGAAATACAAGAGTTTAGAAAGATGTAGCCCTACGTATGTTTTGGGTTTGTTCACAGGGGCATGTTCCAACACTTGGTATCGGAGCATAAGCATAACCTGGTGAATGCCCAAATATCAACCCCGTAAGAAAGAAATGAGTGACAAAACAAATAAAGATGGTCTGATTACACTTCAATATCCGCTGTTGTCCAAAACCAATTACACAGCATGGGCGATTAAGATGACAGTTTTTATGCAAGCCCAAGGTATGTGGGATGCTGTCGACCCCAAGAATCCTCGAGAAGTTGTTGAAGCCCGGAAGGACAAGATAGCACTCGCTGCTATCTACCAGGGTATACCGGAAGACATGTTGTTGTCCATTGCAGAGAAGGAAACAGCAAAAGATGCTTGGGAAACTCTCAAGACGATGTACCTAGGTGCAGATAGAGTTAGGACTGCAAAAGTGCAGACATTGAAGGCCGAATTTGAAGTGTTAAACATGAAGGAGAAGGAAATGGTAGATGAGTTTTACATGAAGATGAACAATGTGGTGAGCAACATACGGGCCTTAGGTGACAAGGTTGAAGAAGCGTATGTCATCAAGAAATTACTCAGAGCTGTCCCAACCAAATTTCTACAAATTGCTTCAACGATTGAGCAATTTGGAGATTTGGAAACTATGACCATCGAAGAAGTCGTCGGAAGATTAAAGACTCACGAAGAAAGATTCAAGGGATATGGAGATAATGAGGAGCAATGGCTCCTGCTCACACATGAAGAATGGCTTGAAAGGTCAAATCTAAGAAGTGATGACTCGAGATCACCACAAAAGGGTCATGGGTCTGATGATAACTCTTCCAGGGGACGAGGAAGGGGTCGTGGACGAGGTGGAAGCAGAGGAGGACATCGGGGAGGTGGCACACACAATTATCGTGAAGGTGGACAAGGATCATCAGGAGGTCGCGATAAGAGTAAGATCAAATGTTTCAATTGAAATGAATATGGTCATTATTCCTATGAATGTCCTGAACCACAACAAGACAGAAACCAAGAGGCTAACTTGGTTCAAGCTCATGAAGATGAAGAACATGCATTGTTATAAAAAAAAAATCCATTGGTATGGTGAAGCTTAAGGAGGTACTGGTGCAAAGAATCAACCAACATTCGGATTAGGGGGTGAATATTGGAGTAATCCGAATGTATGAAGGGTAGTTTAGTCACTTATTGTTTTCTATTAGGATAGAGTCAAAGTCACATGGTTGCAGGTGGCATAAACCCAGGAATGGGTTGTTATCTTTTCCTGTTTTGTTGGTCAGTTTAGCTATTTAACTAGGTAGGAGTCGTATTTTCATGTGTGTGTTTTTCTTTGAAGGTTTTCTCAGATAATAAGATGTTATGGTTATGATGTCTTTATATCTTTTTTGTTCCTTTCCCAGTTACATTATGCAGCAGAAGAGCTGCACTAGTATGTCTTGTTTTTGAGTTGTGCATGCTGAGTTGTGCATGCAGGGGGTTGATCCCAACACTAAACAAATAACACGTCAACAGGAGAGTCAGATGTTAATTTACTTATGGAAAGAAGATTCTTGATAAGTTTTGGAACCACAAGAGCAACTGCTAGATTAATATCTTTTGTAAGAGATGCATTACCAATTTGAGATATATTGAGATTATTACCGTTTCCAAATGCGACATGTTCATTCCCATTGTATGGAGTGGATGTGGTAAGATTTGTAGTCGATGGTGTCATATGTGCGGAATCGCTAGAGTCAACATACCAATCAGAGGAGTTATCATGAACATTACACTTAGCAGTGAAGGCATAGGCTAAGTTGACATCAAGTGTAGGACCTCGGGTTGCAAAAGTAGAAAGATTCAAGCATTGAGAAGCATAATGTCCGTCTTTCCGACATAGCTGACAATGGGGAGGGCGACAACCACTCCCCGTACACCAGAGCGACCACCATGACCACCACGAGAGAAAGAGCCATGGGTGGAGCTGCTAGAGGATAATGTTTGTAGGACATTAAAAGAAACTGGTGGTGTAGTGGTACCATGGACAGAATGAAGAAACAATGCATGCTCTTCAGCCTGTAAAAGAAGATCACGAAAAGGAGGTCTCGGTTTGACAGCCCTGTGTGCTGTTGAGAATGTCTCAAAGGAAGGACCGAGACCATATAGAAACCAGTGGGATTTATATGATTATTCCACAGGTTGTCCAATTGCTGCAAGCTGGTCACAAATTGATTTAAATTTCTTTCCATAATCAGAGATAGTAGACGAACATTTTTTAAGTTACCTTAAAGAATCTCTGAGGTTTTGCATTCTTTCAACTGAGTCATGGTTGTAGGCCGAGTCAGAGGGTAGTCCACACTTCTCGAGCAGTCAAGAGACCTAAGATCTCTTCCATAGCCTCTTCGGTGAGTGAGGCCTGAAGAATTAGGAGTGCACGTTGATCACTTTCATCCCAAACTGTTACGTGGGGATTAGGAGAAGGCTTGTCTTCAATCAGTCTCAGAGGGCCGAGTGGAAGCACCAATGACATGTGTGAATAGGTCTTGATATTTGAGAAGGGGACTGATTTGGTTTTTCCACAAATGATAGTTTGATGAAGAAAACTTAACAGTAAGCATGTGCAAGATAGTATTGAGGGGGAGGGTACCATCATTGGAGGTATTGCCGTTAGCCATGGTGATCAACAAGAGAAGTAAGACCGGCTTAATGAAGATGGATAGGAAATATGGAAAATACCATATAAGAGTGATTATTATCAATCTCCAATGAATTATGGAGTGTTTAGTATATATTGGTATTTATAATGAATACAATAATACAAGATAAGATTAATTCAAATACAACAATAATCTTATCTACTAGGAGTAGAAAGACTTAATCAATCTTATCGTTAACTATTAACGAAGTAAATAACTTTACGTCTATGCAACAATAATAGAGTTTTAAGGGTATCTTTGGACTGAAAAACTACTTTTTAGCTTATAACTTAGTTTATCAAAAAGCTAGTTTATAAGAAAATTTAAGCAAAGATAAGCTACTTTTGTGATCTTACCATGATACTATGATAATATAGAAGAGGACGTCATAAAATTAACGTAAACTCTCTTGATCAAATAAATTAATAAACATGTATTAATGCAGTCGTTGATGATTGGATCACATACAGGAGTAAATATGAGAAATTCCATGCATTCAGGTTTCAAAAGATTTTAAAATCCATACACTGGAGTATACTTGGTGCTAATATATAAATTGTTTAAATCTATCAGATTCGCAAGTATTGTAACTGAAACAAATCGATGGTGCAATTGTTTAATCTCCAAACACATGTATACAATTAAGCCTACACATCATTCCTTGATTCAGTAGTATTCAGATCAAGTGGTAATTCCTACTTTTCAAACTAAAAAATCGATGAAAAAGAGGGAGCTAAAGAGTTATATGGAAATTGAAGCAACTGAATGAGCCCAGAATCTTAGTAGACCTTTCATCTCCACATCATTTCTACAATTGCCCATTGTCAACGCCATGAACTCATCTTTAGGCGCCTTGGGCGACGGTGTTGATCCATATTCTTCCTTATAGGCATCGGGAATCCGAATTGATGGTGTGTTTGGTGTAAGAATCTGTTGTTTGTACCAGTATGAATCTAAGAGGTTGTAGATGTATTCTTCGCTTGATGTCATTTTGATGCTGGGATGTGGTGTTACGTATGTGATATACTGATATGCCTGGTATGTCTTGTAGATGTATTCTTTGCTTCTGAATTTATAAGGATTTGTTTACGCCTAAGTCTTGATGAAGTTGTGAAACGTGGACAAATGGTTGCGTCTGGACCTTTCATCATGTTTTCATAAATATATTAAGAAAAAAAAAAGGAAAAGGAGGCGAATGGACAACAATATTGTCAAGTTGTCGACAAACCACCTGCGTATTGTGATGTGCTGTGTGCACACTGATATTTCTGTTCTCAAATCTCAATTAGAGTAAATTAACGAAATGGTCCCTATGGCTTGGTCCATTTCGTAAGTTTCGTAATTTCCTAGAACTTTTCTCGTGAAAGCTACTACTAAATATTAATACGGTTTTTCTTCCCTCTCATTTTTTTATTCTTCAGTTTATTTGATCGACTAGATTATCCTTATTAGCTGATTCATTTGTTTCATCGACATAATTTTTTACCCAGTTAAGAGGAGGTAGGTTTTATGGAAACCTTGAGTTTGTTTCATGAATTGCGCATTTGCAGATTCTTTGGTTCCAGCATTGATACGCTTTTCGAAGTAGTATTTAGCTCTTTGAACCTATAGAAGACCATTTGTTTAATGTATTTAATTTAATTTTTTATTTTTTTTATTTTTGGCATGTTAGTAATAGTGGTGGTGGCTATGGCGGTCAAGGTAATCAATATATTGGGATGGATACAGCTTCATAACTTCATCAAATAACGGGAGCTCAGAGTGAATTTAACATCAATTTTCATATTTTAGCTAGAAAATGTGCAGAGCGTTTCAAGAAGTAGTAGACAACATCACAAAATATGTATAAATATCATTTTTAAAAGTTAGATGGAACCTACAAAATAAACCAAACTACAGAGGACCAATTCTGTAATTTACTCTCTCAATTATTTGAATACAGATTTACAGGTGGTGGTTAGTGCTCCCAAATAAATCTCTAAATATCTTAAATTACGAAAATGGTCCTTGTACGTATGTGTTTTTTTCCTGAATGAAGTCTAGTCTTTTCAATTTGGACAAGAAGTCTTATATATGAATGTTTTTTCATGTGAATGGTCCCCGCACTAGACGCCTTTTACTTTGCCCCGTTTAACTCATACGAAATGACGGTTATACCCTACCATCCTTTTCTCAATCTCATGTAGGTTCATGGTTTCCAATTCGAGGGGTCAGTTTCTTGTTTTCTTTTTAGGATTACCGCTTATCGGTCTACACCAGATATTTTTTTGGAGGAATCAAAAGAGGGGCATGAGAAACGCTTATGTTTTGTTAATGGATATTTTAGGGATTGAGAAATCTGCTCATTTTGAATACGAACTATATGATTCGTTATGGTTTCCATTGGTGAAAGGACATGAATTGGATGTGAGAAAGTAGGTAGATGAAGTGGACATAGCGTATGAAACCTTAAAGAAAGGATCGGATCCATTTGGAAAAGCAAGTGATATGCAATTTTCATTGAACAGTGAGGAGAAGAGCACAAGGGCTCGATAAACGAAGATATTGACATGATCGTCTATTAAACCAAAACAAATACTTATGCATAGAGAATATAGTTAAATTTGAATTTTATAGAGGATCTTGTTTGTATGTTTATCCAATGTAGTCATATTTTATTAAATCTCAATGTTATATGTTGTCATTAATTGGATTATTATTAGTTGACATTGAAGTGCCTCGAATAAGTTTTGATATACAAACGGTTCTCATATTAATTTAGAGTTTTATGTTGAGGTAATTTGATATGTTATGTTTGATTTGATAGATATTGGGAATTTTAGAGTAAATGAAGTAGCTCTATCTTGTTTATAGTGAATTCAAGGGTTTTATGGGTTTTTCTTGGTGAAGAGAAAAGAAGTAGAAAACTAGAAACATGGTTGCACGGGTAATTGGGATGTTCACCGGAGGAAAGGGTGAGGAGAGATATCGGGTCACGAGGAAGGTGTATGGTGGTAAGATTTGTTTTAGTATATAACTAGATTATGACCCGCGTTAAACGCGGGGAACATAAATTAAATACATATCACATAAACAGACGGCTTTATCTTAGGTTGAATTTTAATAAAAAAAAATATTAGTTAGATTAATTTTTAGAGTTTTTGAATAAAACTTATTAGATAAAAATATTTAATATTTATATTAGAGCAATTTGGTTTTTTAATACAGTAATTTTTAACATATATGATCTATGTGATCTTCGTTTTATCACAACATAATGCGACTTTTTGATTAAACATGTTGTGTAGTAGCTTTATGAATTGACTTTGCTCCGTGTGCCAACCCCCATGGAGGCTCATATGGCCCTTTTCATATTGTCCCTGTAAAACCAAAAGCAACAATAAATTGTTACATGTACCAACAACATTAAATTCTGTAAAGAAATTCGATAACCATTACAAATAAAGTGAATTGTCATAACCATAAACATCAAATCCAGACATTGTAATTTGGTCGATTTCAAAGTATTTTTTCCTTATAAAAATTAAAATATGATTTTTCAGGCTACACCCAATCATATATACATATCTTCCGATCAAATAAATTATTAAAAAAAACATGTTATGAACAAAAATATAATATTAGTTTCATAATTTGCTAAAGGTTAACAATAATAAATAATAATGAACTTTCATAAATCTTGCATTTTGGTCACTACATCCAACTAACAAATGATATTCGGTTTAGATGATTGATTCAAGAAGTGCATCCATGATTTCTTGTAGCTGAATTTTGGTAATTGTTAAGACATATATTGAGATATGAGGGAATGGTTTGTGAGGCTACGGTTGGTTTCTATAGGGCAATACAAATTCAGAATTGTTAGCACATATCTTTCCTACATGCTTCAATTATCAAATTTAGATCAAACTTGTCAAAATCAAATTATAAAAAAAAACAGATATGTAATCTAACAATCAAACAACATATGTTTCATTGAAATAAATATCATAAATCTACAATTTACACTTTATATATTATTCTTGAATTATATATTAACTTTTCATCTTTAATGGTCACTAACACCTCTTTCTGCATTATTGCTGTAACACACATCTATATCGAAAATAAAAGAAAGAACTATAGAGAGGAATGTTGACAGAGTGATACTTCATTGAAAACGCAACAAAATTCTTCATAAAGCCGCTATGATTCTTCTATAGACCGCTAGAAGGTTTATATAGTGACAACCGGTGTGGCATCCATGAGAACGCACCACTTAAAATAACAGTTTTGATTAATGTAAGTGAAAAAAATCATTTAGAATGCTTACCAGTTGTGATAGTTTCCTCTTGGATGTGAACATTAACATTCTTGTAGAGAAATGGAACTTCAAATGAACCCTACATGGCCAAATCAACAACAAACGTAAGTGACACCATGCCGGTAAAGTCTTGTACTATAATGATGATTTTGAAACTAAAACCATTCATATAAACAAATTCAATAATATAAAATTAGAAAACTAAATCGAAGATTATAATAATATGTATAAAAGAGTTATTGAAAACCTTGGAACAACAGATACGTCTTTGTTCATGCAAGTTGAAGTATAACAATAAAAAATTATTTATCTTGCTTTTGGTCCGTTCCACTAGCTTTGCCATCATGCATTAAAACGACATTTATGGCTTTCTCTTGACAAACATAGGTCAACACATTAAAAAATCGATATAAATGGTATAATTTTGTTTCTGTAACTAAATGAATGAAACTAATATGCTTAAAGTAGATTGATTAATTTTTTTCACGACCTCTCAACAAGAGCACAGTAATAACAAATAATAATAACATAGTAAATGCAATAAATTGAAGAAGAATAAGGAGAATAAAGTAAAGTAAGAGCTTCGAAAAAAGAATTGGAGAAGAAGATTGCTCAAGAATAACACTGTAAATCATAGGACTCAATCCAAAATCGTAAGAATAACCACTTCAGTGTAATCATATATACAGAGTGTTTTTAAATAAGGAAATCATTATCTTTTAAAATAATTGGGATCCTAAGATATAATCATGGAGATTTTCGGCTATTCATTTGGAAAAAAAGAAACATATCAACTATATTAATTCAAAACTTCAAATTAATTGACTTTCTTATTTAATCAGTTTTAAAATTCAAATAATTATCTCAAATTGATTCATTTTATGTGGGATATACTGGGAGATAAATTATGAATAATATTGACTTTAATTTTGACTCTTAAATATTTTGCTGATTTAATGAGATTAGATTAGATTTTATAGGTTAATAACTTAATTATTGATATGCTTGTTTAATGAGCTTTAAAAAAAATAATAAATAAAAAATATAATATAAACCTATTTGAATTTGGAAATCAAAAACTATAAATAAGGGAGTTAAATTAGGAACAATATTAATTAGAGAAACTGATATAATGTATATAAATAGAATAATATGTTTCAATTGATAAAATAATTACTGAATTTAAAGATTCTATAATTATTACAGATTCTATAATTAAATGTAATTATGTTTGAATTTTATTTGGGGAAGATGATGTCAGCAATTTGATCTAAGGGTGGAAAACGTATGATTAAAACACAATCAAGGGCCCTGATTGCTTCATTGGTGAATTAAATGTTCTCTTTTAATAATCTTAGAGATAGTTAAATACCAAAGTAGCCTCTCACCATAACTCTATTTATAGGCACAATTTTGGCTTTAGCCTTTCATTGGTTCAAGGTTTGAGGTAAAACTAATGTAATTATGTAATTGTGATTTGGGAAAACCGGTGCCAAAGTCATCTGCATATATTGCCCCTTTGTACCAATTAGCATCTCGCTAGAGCTTTATTAAATAGTTTTTCATATGACTTTAACGGGGCATGCTTAACAACGTCCAACGTAAGGACCATTTGCATGACAAAACAAACCTCAAGAACATTAACGTTGAAATATATCGTTATGATTTCTATTATAGTGAAAAAGTCATTATGGAATTATTTTACATGTTCATTTACTCTTTGAGTACTTTTGGTGCTGAAATCAGCCATGGAGCAGAAGAATTGCATCCAGAAGATTAGCTAATTTTTTAGCAGGAAATTGCAAATTCAATAGCTAGTAAGCTTCATTCTATATTGTTTGTCCATAGTTTCTTTTGATATAATTTTCTTGGTTCTTAATGTGTTTTGTTAGAATTTATATATCATTGATATAGTACCGAAGAAGGTTGTTAAAGATCTTTCTTCACTGCTTATTTCTTAAGAAAACCAGGTAACTTTCCTTACACTAGATTATGAATCGGAGTTTCCATCATTTTTCCTCTTTTACAACATGTAGCAGTTCACTAATTGAAGGCAACAAAAAATTTATCCTCTTTTTAATGATGGTGTTTCTTCTTTACAATTCATAAATATGTTTTCTTTTTAATGAAAATAAAAAATTTACCCTCTTTTCTGTGATTATGAAGTGGGTAATTGAATTTCTTTTGTTATGGTAGATGATGCAAAGAATTGCCCTAATCAAATAAGAGATATCAAGTTTAGAAATTCATTAATAGAGGAGATTACAGAGGAAATAATCATTATACCTTTGAGAATGTATGAACTAGCCCTTAAATAAAGGTTTTGATTTAGTTTAAAAATAGCTTAGATGAAATAAGCATTTTATCTTTATAAATGAAAAAGTTATTCATATTCAACTTTATAAACTCTAAGTAGTTCAGGTAGTGGTAATTGACATAAATATATATATATATATATATATATATATATATATATATATATATATATATATATATATATATATATAATGAGGATGAGGGCATTCACGTCTTCTGCATAGATGAGAGATGTGTTATATGTTATGTGATTTTACATGTTTACTATTGTTTTACATGCATAATCAACAAAGTTATAGTCGGTTGCATGTTGATTCAAAAGCTTCTTCTATGAATAAATCACGTGTTAGGACAAGAGGTGGAGGAAGAAGGACAGTGGAGCCAGTTGTCCGATCAATTGAGCCAATTACCAATGCTACCCTTGATGTTGAATGGTATTCTTTTCAAGTGCATGCACAAGGTATGTATAATGTATGTTCTTAGACAATATGGTAGTGTCTGGTATAACAAAATTAAGAATGGAATGGAATGATTTATTCCATTGGAATAAAAAGAACATTGTGTTGTTTGATC